CGCACGGAAAAAATGACATATAACCCAAATTTTGATTTTGGGGCTATTTACATCTATAGAAAACTATTTGGTTTTTACAATTGATTACTTTAAATGTCGTCTTCCTATACCGAGTATTTCTAAATTAAAAAAGATACAGGGTGTCCCCCGAAACATAATAATAGTAAGACGATTTGAAAGTCGTCTTTGATCTTAGGATTTATTTTAAGCATTCAGTCTTCAACCTTCTTTTACATGTATGATTCTTGATTCTTGAAACGATAACCACAAAAATCTTATAGTCATGGGATTTCCAAAATGACGTCTATCTTTTTTGTGCTATCAATATTACCGGAGATACAGGGTGTTCCACGAAATATGACAGTTGATGAATAGTTATGAATGTCTTCTTCCATATACTGTATTAGATATTAAAGACTTTTTGTAGTTTATTGTTAAAAAAAATCTTTTACTCAAATATATTTTACGTTGAAATAAATAATACTTTAAGATGACTCCCATACAATATTTTTTATTATTTTCTTTGGTATCAAACAACTTAACAAATTATGGAAGAGGACATTTTAAACCATTCTCAAACTGTCATGTTTCATGGGACAACCTGTATTTCAAATTTTAATTTTATTAAATAAAACCAAAATTATCGAAATTTTAATTAAATCAATCATATCTCCGGTAATATTGAGAGCACAAAAATACAGACCACATTTTGGATATGCCAGGACTAAGAGTATTTTTTTTAATATTAACGCTAGAATTTTACTTCTAACATTTGATTTACGATTTTAAAAGTCTAAGACGAGACCGTGAGACGACCTTCAAGTCATCTTTTACTGTTGGGTTTCATGGGACACTCTGAACAAAGAACAACCCACATAAAAAAATGAATGTACGTATATTGGCTGTCACGATTGACACATTTATATTTGAGTTCTATGGCTTTTGTTTCTGTATCTGGAATACATACAAATAGAGGTCGTCATCCTACTGTTAAGGTCGTTATCCAATGGTTCTCTGCGAAGATGGATCAAATGCTGATTGCAGTTGTAAAAACCCACCTTGTGGTATTAAAGGTAGATTACTTATAAATTATACAGTAGTCGTCGTAAATCACTATGATAAATACCACTTTCTATTAAGGTTTCAAACGCAAGTGGATTTTACTTGCGCGCAATTGAAAACCCTGTATTAACTCTGAGCAATTGCGTCCAGATCCGCCCAATTCCGTTTAATTCCACCCAATTCAATTAAAACATTTGCGCGCAATTCCGCACAATTCCGATTGGAACCCCTTCTGTGTAATCAATTTTTGGCAGATGCTGAACTCCAACCTTCGAGTGTGCGAGGTGGGGAAGACTTCACTTAAGATTTTACTTTTGTACATGACCACTTTTTAAACAATTTTTAATTAAATTAGTATTCATTTAGGGTTAGGTTAGGTTAAGACACTTTCTGGGCCGAGCGCTGCGGCCGCGGGTTAGGTTAAGTTATGACACTTTCTTTTATTTAGGGTTAGATTAGGTTAAGCCACTTTATGGGCCGAGCGCTGCGGCCACGGGTTAGGTTAAGTTATGACACTTTCTGGGCCGAGCGCTGCGGCTAGGATTCAATCTCGATCTACAAATGTCATTCCCCCTTAATCATGCTTTAAATCAAGCGCAGCAGTGAAGTCTTCCCCGCATCGCACACTCGAAGGTTGGAGTTCAGCCTCAATTTTGATTTCTATCAAGTTTTAAACAACCTGGATAAAAGCCGACCACTGTATTCATTGATTTTGTCACAATAGAAATAATTAACGAGGATTTTATCGACGACGACACTACAATTGTAGAAGATAATTAGGTATGTCATATTTTTTAGCCAGGTCATAATAAGTAAGACGGTCATATGAATTATGTAGAGATCATAGATTAATAACAATATACAGATAGAAAACTAGACGTCTTTTTAAGATTAAGGAGTTTTTCGTTCACAATAACTCTGAGTAAGAGGCCTAAAAGATTTACAAAACGCTCTCTCTCTGTATTGTAATTCAACACGGCATTCCTTAATTTCTGTGGACTTCTGCCTCAGGGTTGTTGTGAACGAAATACCGCTAAATCTTGAAAAGACGACATCTAGTGTTCTATCTGAATTGTTATGAATCTATGGTAAAGATCAAGTAGGTTATAAAATTTTGGTATGTTGAAGGTCATATTATTTTGATACAGGGTGTCCCACGAAACATGACAGTTGGGATGAATAGTTTAAAATGTCTTCTTCCATAATATGATAAGTTTTTTAACACGAAAGACAATAATAAAAATATTATTTAGGAGTCATATTATAGTAAAATTGATTTCAGAGTAAAATATACTAGAGCAAAAGATTTTTTAAACGAAATAAACTGCAAACAGCCTTTGGTATCTAATACAGTGTATGGAAGACGACATTCAAAACTATTTATCAACTGTCATGTTTCGTGGGACACCCTGTACTTTATCTTATTAAGGTTGGTCCTATTTTTGTCTAATTATGTCTCTTTGAGGAAACCGTCCTTCTTGTTCCTGTGATGATGGCTCTATTCCTAAACTGCGACCTCTCTGTAATGACGGATCCTACCCGCAGTGCCCTGGAGCTTGTCACGACGGAGCAGACGCTCTTATCGATGAATCACTAAGTAGGTTTAAATTCGTTTAAAATATTGTAACATTTTTTGTATCTTTCTCTACCAACTCAATAAAGACGCCAATAGATTGCTGTGGCTGAAATAATTCTCGGGATCGTTCTGTTTTAACAGTTTTTTGACGTCTTTGAAGTCTCATTTTATAAAGGTAACCCTTTCAGAGATTAGTCCAGGTGGAGACATAAGCATTTTATTTGGATTAACCCTTTTGGAAGGCGCACAGACGCACGGAAAAAATGACATATAACCCAAATTTTGATTTTGGGGCTATTTACATCTATAGAAAACTATTTGGTTTTTAATCAGCCCACTTTGGGGGCTGAATCCCATTAAAAAATCAAAGCCTCCGATTTTTTTCCAGGGGGGGCTAAGCAACCATAACCCCCCCCCCTCTGAGTACGCCTCTGAACCCTTTATCTTACAATGCATGTTAAAGTTGGTTGCTCCTTAGTAAAACTGAATGTAGTATAGTATGTAGTTACCGATTATATCAATATTGTGAATACAACTTTTTTTAAAAGTTTCAATTGTTAACAAGCTTTTTTCAAATTACAAGTTAACAAGTGATTAAAGAGAATATTTTTTTTTAAATTTCCAGCTTCTCTTTGTTTCCATATTTTGCTGTATCCATGCTGTTTAAAAGCTATATATTAATCCAAATTGAATTTTAAAGTCGTCTTAATTTATATTATTGCCTACCATTGTATCATAATCAATCTTTTTTTTCAGCCACTAAACCTTGTGTTGACGGATCTATTGTATTCTTGAGTAAATGTCGATGTGAGGATGGAACAAAATTAAGACCGCATGGTGTTCTAGGTCGTCTTCAAGTATACAATCCAGATACAGACGAGTAAACAGACATGTATCAATATTTAAAAGTATCAATATTGTTTTTTGCAAAACAGTATTTTCGTATATTACATGCTGCTTGATAATGAACAGTACAGGGTGAGTCAAAAAAAGTGTGTAAAGCAAAATCTCGCATTTAATAAAGTATTTTTGGGTGATCTCATGTTTAACGAGACGTATTGAATTTTAGAATTTTGTTTTGCTATGCAATCTAATAGACCTCTTTTAAAAGGCTGAGAAACTATTTTTTACTAAAAATTAGATGAGTTGAAAATTTATTTTTGAAAAAATCGTTTTGATGATTTTTATTCTTTTTAAATTCTTTTTATAATGTGAATTTTTGATATAGGTAAAATATCTCAATTAAATATTAGGAAAATACGCATACAAAAGTGTATTCTTAAAATATGTTGATTTCTGAACTTAATTTCGCGCATTTTCTCCAAAACTACTCATCTGATCTGTTTAAGATTTTAAGGTGCTATAAAAACAATATACATTCCGGCACTTTTGTTTTTCTACTCATCTAATTTTGGGTAAAAAACAGTTTCGCAGATTTTTTAAAGGGTCTATCAGATTGCCTATCAAAAAATAAAATTCTAAAATTTCAAACCTATTTGTCAAAAATGAGATTTTCAAAAAAGTGCTTTATTATATGCAAAATCTTGCTGTTCACCCTTTTTTTTTAAATCACTCTGTCCGTGAGAAAACGTATTACATTAACCCTGAAAAAATGTTTAGGCACATATTGTTTAAAGATTGAAATTTTCTCGAGTTATGTGAAGAAGAAAAATGTTTTGAATTTCTAATATATAACCAAATAAATTTGCTCTTCTCCTGCTTGTGATGCATTAAATCAAACTATAGGAGCCATGAGACCACACAGTTGTTTTAATATATATCGTATATAGGAGCCATGAGATCACACAGTTGTACTAATATATCGTATATAGGAGCCAGAGATCACACAGTTGTACTGATATATCGTATATGGTATATGGTTTTTTCTTAAAATTCATGATTTTCTTCTTAAAATTCACGTTTTCTTCTTATAATTCATGGTTTTCTTCTTAAATTTTATGTTTTCTTCTTAAAATTCATGGTTTTCTTCTTAAAATTCATGGTTTTCTTCTTAAAATTCATTGTTTTTTTCTTAAAATTCAGGTTTTTTTCTTAAAATTCATGGTTTTCTTCTTAAAATTCATGTTTT